ATTGAGGGACTAAATTTAAAGGAAAAAAAAAGTGCTTGGTATATAAGTATCATGTACTAGAGTGTGAGGAAGGATCATAGCCTTGGGTAGCGTGTCACATCCTCCAAGCCCTAATGGATGTCATGTTTGATGCCCTTGGAACCCTTGCAACTTTTTTTTTTCTCATAAGGTGACATGAGTTTCATAAAAAAGCTTAATGGTGTCCATTTTGCATAGAAAAAACCTTTCTTTTTATGCAGAGAAAACAATGGTGTCTCCTCTATGTAAGTTTTTTTTTTTATATGTGACAAGTTTGAGTGTGCTACTTCTAGGAATCCCAAAAAAATGCATAACATGGTATGTCAGGGTGGGATTAGACTGACCAGGTTATTTAGGTATGCACGTGTTGAACAACTTAATATAAAGGTAAGGGTGGAGCTATATGGACAGGGTTACAAACATCATAGGTATTATTGTTTGGGTTATGATCTAAATGACAATAAGGCAATAAAAGAAAAACTTTATTGCGTTTAGACCATGACCTAAACATGACTCAAATAGTAATAAGACAAAAAATGTGTTGAACATTTAGGCATGGCCCTAAACAACTTTTTTTATTTGGTAAAAATTATACACCATTATATGCCTTTAAAGTCTTTTAAGTATATATGTTTGAAAGATTTACCTAGTAGAAATGGAGGAAGAAAATACATGTATTATAAGTGATGTTACCCTTTTTGTGTATATTATAAAATGTCTGCATGAGAGTTCTCTTTATAATTTTGTTAAGATTTCTACAAGAGAGAAAAAAAATCTTAATTGTCTTACTTGTTGAAAGAATCAATCCAATAATAAAAAGTATGTAATATAATTTGTGTATATGTTTAAGAATGCAAGGCTATGTTCTATAAGCAGTCATAGAAACTGAAGAAAGAATTTTTGATTTTTTTGAATGCAAATGGTTATGGAAATATTAAGAAGGATTCCTCATCTTTTTAGAGACAAATAGTTATAAAAACTTTAAAAAGGGTTTTTGATCCTTTTAAAGACGTGAGAGATATGCATGAAGACTCAATAAAGATTTTGGTATGAAGATTTTTTATGGAAACATGTTTGAAGATATGAATATTTTAATAGAGATTTTTATTAAAGAAATTGAAGATGTGGAGAAAAATTAACTACCACTATATAATTTACACAATTTGTTTTGTGAGTATATAGTTAGAAATTAACATTAAGATACTATGTTATTGGAGATCTTAAGCTTCTTTGGAATTTTAATGGTCAAAATAAAGTTACATTAAAAATCAGTAAACTTAAAAAAGAAGAAGTTTAGTTTATGTTTTTTAAGGTTTTAACTTGTGTATAAATAGGAAGTAACTAAAAATGGGATTGATTAATTTTGAGAAATTTATAAGTTTCAATTCTTTTTTTTTAGGATCATATATTATTAGTCTTAGCATATTGTAATCTTAATATTATATTAAGAATATAATAATCAATCAAATTTTTAAATAATTTTTACTTTTGTACATTTATATATTAATATAGAAAAAATGCCCAAGACAGCATACTACTCGTAGAAAGGAAAATAAAGCATCAGATTACATATTCTAAAATTATATAAATAGTTATTAATGGTTACGGCATGGAAATTAATATTTTTGATAATAATGTGGTTTGTTGATTAGCAGTTAGTTGTGAACTATTTTCATATATATATATATATATATATATATCGATGGATTTATCAACATAGTTTCCTGTAACAATTTATAATGTTGGTGTTTTTGTTTAGTAAGCAACTTCAATGAATGAATTATCAAGAGACCTGATATCCCTGATTAAAAACTCATAAATGGCATGTTTCCATTGGAAAATCTATCAATGAATTATAGACCAATAAAAAATAGTTTAATAAATAATAAAATATTTTATTATAAAAATCAATTTTCTAAGCATGCATATCAAAAATTTATTTTATAATAAATTCAAATTAAATTACACAATATAAAAAATAGATCCAAACTCAAATAAAAAATCTAGAACTTGGGGCCTAAGAGCCATAGCCTTGGACTTGGGGCTCATGCCCAAACCTGAGTTGAGCTAGGGTGTATAGTTTAAACCTAATTTATTATTCTTTAACTTTATATTATATAAATTACAAGAAATTTTTGTTTTTTGTTTTTACATGGATATAAAATTTTGGGTTTCATAAAAATAGTCCAACCAAGAATTCCTTGGCATTAATTTTTTATTTATTTATAAATTTTTTTAATCATGTTAATGTTAATGTTAATAAGAATTCTTTGGCATTAATTTTTTATTTATTTATAAATTTTTTTAATCATGTTAATGTTAATGTTAAATAATAAAAAAAATTTATTGGAAAATAATTTTTAATAAAATTTTAGCCTAAAAAGTAAATGGAATTTATTTTTAATTTAGTCTTAATTGGATCCACTCACCATATATTTAATATAAATTTTTCAATAATTAAAACAAAATTAGAAAAGAAAATAAATTGGAAGAATCGAATCGACTGAACTAACTAGAGACTGGACTTGCAAGTTGCGTCCTGTTTTGAGAGAGGACAATACTTGCGTTGATGGCCTTGCTAAATAAGGTGCCATAAATGATTCAACTATTGTTTTCTAGCCTTATCCATTGTTAAATATGCTATTTTTTTTTAAATTTAGGATATTCGAATGAGTATACACGTATTATAATTATTTTTGAGATTCATTAAATATTCTATTAGTTTAATAAATAAATAAAAAATCATTGAAGGAATAAGTATGCACAAAAAAAATCAAACTTAAGCGAAGAGAAAAAAAACAAATCTCTTTTTCTGCTATACCACAACCTTAATTGTATGGAGATGTTGTTACGCTATCTTCTCTAGGTGTTGGTGTTTTATTTGGTCGAGTATGCTCTCAACTTTGCAGGAGTTGTTGCTAGAGCGATCTTTTTTTTCAATAATAATAATAATAATAATTTTCCATTGAAACATCCATGATTTTTCAATGAAAAGTGGCCAACTCCAAATGAAAACCATGCTAACATTGTTCTTTAACTAGGATGGAATATCAAATAATTTCTTCTAATTGCACTATCAATGAAATTATTATCCTGGATCTTAGAGTTATTATCTACAAATATGTATATATTAGCAGGATTACTCATCTTATTTTAAAAAAAAAAATTAAAGTTAGTAAGTAAGGTTCAATAAGTAGTTTATATTATTCTTTAAGATATATTTTTAAGTGAAATAATTTTTAGTTAGCAATTTGCATGAAATTATCGCAACCTTTTGTTTAATTTTATTAATTTAATTTAATAAAATAAAAATGATGAAATTCTAACTCTTAATTGATTAATTTTATTAAGGCCCCGTTTGTTTCAAGAAAATAGTTTATTAGAAATTATTTTTTCAAATTTTTTCATATTTATTTACCATTAAAAAAATTTGTCAATGAGTAATATTTTCTAGACAAAAAACAAATTGACTTAGTTTTTTTAAAATATTTTCCTTTTATTTTGGGTAGTAAAACATTTTCTAGAAATTGTAAAAAAATTAAAAATATATTGTTATTTATTAATTATATCAAATTTGATTATTCATCTTTTTAATGCTTTATATTTTGTTTTGAATCCTTTTTTTTTTCAATTTTATCTCTTAGAATTTGATTTTTACATCAATTTTAGTCTTCATTCTTTTGATTGTTATTTTTTTTTTTACATTTTCTTAATTAAATTTTATTTATTTATCAGATTTGGATTTTTTTTATTACTATTTATTTTATTTGAAATAATTTTTTTAAATTTCATCATCTTTTAACTTTTTTTAACTATCAGATTTGATTTTTATTTTTATTTATTTTATTTAAAATAATTTATGCAATTTATTTTTTAAAATTTCATCCTCTAATTTTTTATTTGTAAGATTTAGTCCTTATTTTTTTAATAAACTTACAAAAATTAAAAAAATATTTTTTAATTTATTTTCCATGACATAGTGAAATACTGAAAAGTATTTTAGAATTCATTTTATATGAGACTGCTGAACATAAAAAAATAATTTATTTTTTTGAAATCTATTTTTCATGAAAGTCATTTTCTAAAAGAAATTATTTTTAACAAACAAACAAGTTCTAAGGCTTTGGTATTGTCACAAGAACTATATCAATTTAAAAATTTAATTAATTAATAATTGAAGCACAATGAAATGATTTTATATTACTTTCCAAGACATCTTCCTAAATATTTTCTTTAAACCATGTAATCAATCAATGTTTATAAAACATAAAATTCATAATCAATATTAACCACAATTTCAAAATTCCTAGCATTTCTACCATTTATCTCTTGAGGATACTGTTAATTACACAAGTATGGATTGTTACAGATTATGTAGATACATGAAGAAACCATAGGAAAATCAAACATTTATAATGAACAATTGCAAGCCGAAGCATTTTGTTTTTATGTAATAAGAAATTAATAAAACCAAAAGGTTTTAATTGGGGAAGGCCCTAGTTCTTATATATTATCTATTTAAAGCAAAGTTAAAAAAAAAATACAAGTAATTAATAACAACATACCATAAACAAGTAAGCTTAATTTAGCAATTATATATTCGAGAACTTCTGAAGCAAGATTTTAGGTATTGTAAATAGTTGTTCTTTAAAGTTTTTTTTTTTTTTAAATATTAAAATATATTTTTTTTAAATTTATTCATAACTTAAAATGATCTAAAAATACAAAAAATAATTTAAAATTAAAAAATTTAATTTTTTAAACACCTTTTAAAATTTTAATAATGACTGCAGTTTTTTTTTTTTTGGGGGTATAATAATGAAGTAAAGCTTGGGTCTCAATAATCACAATTTTCTCAAATACAATTATGTAGTGGGAAAGGACTCCACTGTATCACGCAGTCCAAAACTTGTTAGATGTTGAAATAAAAAACATCACACCACTTACAGTTTGAGTTAGAGAATGAAACGGCACATATTTTCTGAAATTATTTGTCAGTGCTTCGATAAGTTTCGGTGATGTATCAGAGGCCAATATACAGAATTCATATATATATATATATATATATATACACACACACAAGGACAAAACCAGATTACAAAACCATGGAAGAAAAGGGAAAAATAATGAACATTCTGAAATGAGCAAGGTTGTGGTGAAACCAGGTCGCTTGAATCATCAGATATCCTGTTTTCCGACTCCATCATCTCCAGGAAACTCCAAGATCGAAGCAGTGGTGGTTCCTTCTGTGATTATTGAGAACCGTCTTATATATTTACAATAATTTCTTTCCAGATTGGGTTATATACACATATACATTCCATGAAGGTTTCTTTATGCTTAATATTGGTGCCGATTGACATCGAGAAAAATGGTCACTTCCTCTCTCAATGATCCAAAGCATTTATCACTATCCTGCAAAACAAACATATTGAGAAGCATGAGGGACCATCCATAAACGAGGAAAATAAATGTGATTATAGCAAAAATAAAACAGAGAGAGAACCAATCATAAATAGTCAGACTTCTAGGCTCGCCGCTTTCTAATGCTTCATCTGCCGATTTTCTCGTCGTTATTCTCCTGAAATCCCCGCGTGGTGTCCCTGTGATCCCAGCAGCATGCATGCATCATAACCAAAGGTCGACATTAACATACATAAACGCCAACTAATTAAAGCTTTAAACTGAAAGAAGAAACTTGAAATCCTACACGCAATACACCAACTAGTGTAAAGATTCTTCTCTGGCTATTTCTTAATAATTAAGTAACAAAACACCAACTAATGGAATAATTTTTTAGGCCGTGTATCTATATTCATGCATGGTTGTTATGAAACAAACATGGAAGAAATGGATGAAAAGTTGAAATTTCGTGCCCTTCCTCTATATTTATTACTATTAAATTCATGACTCTGAATATCTTTTTTTGTTTTCCTTTTCTTTCCCTGCTATTTCTTAGATCTCTCCATATAAAAAATTAATATAAATTTATTTTAAAATTTTACTTAATAATATAAATTTTTGGATTGAAATGATTATTTAATATAATATCAAAATTTTAATAACCAAATAATTATAAATTTAAATTTCACAATCTCCTATTTATTTGATGAAAATTAAGAATGAAGTAGTATGACCTATGTAAGTTTTAAATTCAAAAAGATTTAACTTAAAGGAATATGTTAAAAAATAATATAAATTATATTATAAAATTTTATTTAACAATTTAAATTTTTATATTAAAATAATTTTTTGAGATATCTGTAATTAATTCTTTGAATTCTTAATTTCAAGATTTATTTGAAATGAAACCAACTTGCAGGTTCCAATTTTGATTTCTTTTCTAACCTCATCTCAGCAACCGAATTTGAGAACATCACAGTCGAAAGCACCACAGTAGAGACAAACAAAGAGAGCAAAAGGTAAAGAAAAACAATCATTCACAATAATTTATTGGTTGACATATCCTAAATGTTAATTTCACTCATGCAAAACCACACACATAATAGTAAGCTTACGTGTCAGAGGTGTCGTAGGAGTGCTAGGGGTAGCAGGCGACTCAGGAGCGGAACAAGAATTAACAGAAATGTTCCTCAAACATTTGGAACTGTTTGTCCTAACAATAGTAATGCTCCGAGTTATGTTCATGTCCTCAATGCTATTAGCTGCAGCGGCATCAACAGGAGGTGATGATCGTACAGAGAATGAATCATACTTTCGAAGTTTGCCAAGCCCACTGTCCGGCATGGGGCCAGCAAGCGTTTCGTCCCATAGCTTATGGAGAAATCCCATTATATATGACAAAAATCAGATTTTCTCTTGTGTGACAACCGAGAGAGGCCTAAAATCAAAACAATTTTCTTCTTGGCTTTTTCGTTCTGCTAGACCTGAAAACGTACGACTGTTACTAAGAGAGGGAAAGGGGAGCGAAACGCAGAGAGAAGATAAGAGGAAGGTTTTATTTTATTTCTAGTTTTTTGGGTTTTTTTTTTTCTGTGAAGAAATGGTGGTTTAGGGTTCTTTATAGAGGAAAGTTGAGAGAAAAGAGAGAGAGGATAGGGGGTGGATATTGATGGTTATACTGATGCAACGACTAATATGGCTTTGTTAGCAGCCATCAAATTTATTTGGTAAATATTTTAGATCATCTAATTGCCATAACTAGCTAGCCATTCATAAGCCTGATAAATATAGAATCATCTGTGCATAACAACTAAAACAGGAAAGTTAATTGAATTTCTTTTATAGCCAAAGAAAAAAAAATGGTGGGAGTATACTATGACGAGCAAGAATAGAAGAAAACAAAAGAGAGTCTATATAACAAGAAGCCAGTATAAAAAAAGAAGAAGGTGTTTTAAATTGTAGTAGTAGTTATTTTTTAAAATATTTTTAATTTAAAAATATATTAAAATAATATTTTATTTATTTTTAATATTGACATATCAAAATAATCTAAAATAAAAAATATATAAAAAAAAAAGTGTTTTAAAAATATTTTTAAAATATAAAAATAAACCGCTAATTGATGAGTAAGTGTAGTAACGTGCTAGACATGCAAGTGTCCATCCTTACACGTCAACTGGATAAGGTTGTGGGGAAATCTAGATCTACCAGAACTGGATGGTGAAAGTGTCGTTGAACTCAATGAAAGCTTCGAACAAGAGACGTGTGCTCTCATAGTTGGCTTAAAGTCTTCTATTGGATTACGACATTTACACATAAAAGTCGTTACGGTCCCCTCCAGCTTCGTATGATCAGGAAATGCTCTTACCAGTACTTGAGATGTTAGCACAGCTATATGAGAGATTTGTGCTTCTTTTTTTTTTTATATCCGGATTCAAATCTTATTATACATATCTATTATTTTGTGGTATCGTATGTAATTATTAAATTTATAAAATATTTAATGAATTATAAAATTTATTGTAATATGTAAAAGCGGGTCTGAACATCTACATAAATAAAAAAAAAAACCTCTTTCGGCTTTGTACAGACTGTGGCCTTACACTTGATCGCTGTTTCAACAGATTATTCAATTTGGTTATTAGGTCATGATAGTGAAAGAATTAATACATTTAATTTAATAGTTTGTTTCTGCTTCTAATTAATTTGTGCCTTATTTCCCCCAAATAACTCAACAGATTTTTCAATTTGGTTATTAGGGCATGATAGTGAAAGAATTAGTACATTTAATTTAATAGTTTGTTTCTGCTTCTCATTAATTTGTATCTTATTTCCCCCAACTAACCACTTCTCTCATCTGGACGATCTTTTACCATCTCCTTCACACTGAATGTCATTTGTCTTAATGCTATGGATTGGCTTCCTTTTTTTGCCCTTTTTTTCTTGGGGGACGAAGTTACAAGAGGGGGTTAATACTAGAACTTGCTACATTTCGTCCATGTCATCCACTCTTTTAACCAAAGTAGTAAAATGATAGTATGCAGAGGTAGGTTAAATATTAAGTTTGTTTTTTAGAAGTTATTAGTTTGAATATTATAAATTTTAGAGTAATTAGATATTTATATGGTCATTAAATTAAAGATCTTAAAAAATTAATTGAGGTATATATAAATTGATTTAGACACTTATAATTATTTAATATATATATATATATATATATATGTAAAGAAAAGGAAAGGTCTTTTATCAAGGGACGCATATATAAGGTTTTGTGGTTTGATCGTGATAATGCATAAATTGTTTTTTTTTTTTTTTCAATATTCCTAGTGTTTGGACACTTAAACATCCTTGCTATTTAGGCCACGCCCAACCACCAGACGTTATGGTCATCCAGATGAGCCCCAAACTGCAAAACATTTCAGCGGCAAACACTCCTCGATGTATTTTTCAAGTTCCCGAGAGGTTAGAGCAGCGCCACAAGCATCACTATGCACACAAATTTTCTATATAGAACTGAATTAGCAGCATTTCCATCAATGGACTATGAATACCACACCAGTAACAAGCATCAATCTCTCAATAAAAAAATATTTATTTGTTTCACTTATCATGAGATACTTTCCATCATTATTCCACTTGCTATGAAACACGCACAATTTCACTCTCATGAGACATATTTAACTCGATCTATTATGAAATAATTGCAATATTAGTTTTCACAAGATAAATTAACATATTAACATAACTAACATCTATAAATATCTCTAATCACTCAATTCAAAAAATTCAATTCAAGCTCATTTAAAAGCTTCATACATGTTCATTCAACAAACACATTTTTTTTCTTCTCTACATATTATTTTCTGAATCTTTGGTTTTCCAGAAATAACTAAACTTAGAGATAAAACCTATATTAAAACTCATATATTTCAACCCAAAATACAGCTATAGAAAGCGCAATTGAATTCTAAAGTTTTCAAGACTTTATTTTTGGAGTGTGTTTGAAAACTGATAGTTCCATTGTTTTCATAAAGAATGTGTGAAGATATAATCAGACTTAGTCAATGATTAATTTATTATTTATGATATCAAAATATTTTATAGCTATTATGAGAATTATTTGATTTTTTTTTGTTGTATATTATAATTATAATAAACACTAATTGGAAAGGGAAATTCAATGTTCCCTCCTCACGAATTATTGTTCACTAGAATAGTGATTTGTTTCTTTTCATTAGTTTTTTTTTATTTAATTTTTTTTTCTGATTTCATCATATAATATTAAGTTTATTATACATTGAGCTTCATAATTTATTTTAATTTTTTTTCATGAGATTATTTCAATATCATAACCTAGTTTACGTGTTTGGTGAGCTTATTTAACTTAAATTTTCTTTAATGTAATTTTTTTACTAGTTTCATACTTCAATATTGAATTGGTTAAGAATTACACTTTATAATTTATTTTATATTTTATGAGGTTATCTCGGGTTCATAACTCAAGTTATGGATTTGATAAGTTAACTCGGTGAACTTGGGTAATTTTTTTATTCTTTTTTCAAGTATTTTTTTCAATTTCATCCTACATTATTGGATTAATTGGAAATTAAATTTTATAATTTATTTTAGTTTGTCTTCTATGAAATTATCATGGTATCATGACTTGGTCCACACATGTCTGGGAAGTTAACCTAAGTTTATTTAAATAATTTTTTATGTTTTTTTAATTAATATTTTTTAATATCTCATCCTCCGTTATTAAATTGATTGGAAATTGAGATTTATAATTTTTTTTTAATTTTTTATATGAGATTATCATAATTTTATAAACTGGTTTGTGGATTTAGCAGGTTGATCCAACATATAATCATCTTAATATATATATTTTTTAAATATCACCATGAAAAACACCCCTAAATTGGTTTAAAAAACATAAAATCTAACCTAATATGAAAATTCTTACTTAGGCCTAATTTATTTTTTCAACGATATAAAATTTTAAAAACACCTGAAAAACTTCTCTTATTAAAAAGAATTTATCAACACCAAAATCAATCTTTTTTTTATTGCTTGAATGCAAACAGGTGGCCATTTTTCTCTTCTCCCTCGTTTATATTCCCTCATTTATATTGACTTTCTCTCTCTTTTCAAATTTCATTGTCTCAAATGTAGAATAAATAAAGTTTGTGTATAGTTTCAAATAATACAAATAATACATTTGCAAATATAAAAGTCATCCATTTCCAAAAAGAAATAAAAAGTACTTGACTAGTTTGTTTATATAAATCTCAAGATAAGAAGTTATTTTACCATTTCAAGAAAAATAAGGACAGACTTCCCCAATATTGAAGCCATTAAATGTGAATTAGTAAAACCAACCCCGTGCGTGTGTTAAATTAGTGGGGGTAACGATGCTTAGTTTATCATTACAAATCATATTTAACATAAGAAAGTTTTCAAGAAAAACTTAAAGTTTATATAAGTTTAATTCTATAATCATGTAAAAGCATAATTAATGGACAACATGTTTTTAACATAAAAATAATAATAGAATACTAATATCCATGCTAAGCATATATTTAAATTTGCAATTGATATAAAATCAAAAAACTTGAATGCATGATTATAATAAAATTAACTTTGCTTAAATTAAAATAAAAATAATATTTACTTGTTAAAACACTTTAAAATAATATTTTTTTTTATTATCAAGGATGAATTATTTATCTTTAAAATTTTATTGCTCCATACTTGTGCAATTAGGATGTTTACAAGATGCATCCTAAGATTCTAACATCACCATCTTAGTTTAGATACACTTCTAAATAAGGTATTTGAATCAAAGATTTAGAATGAAAATCATTATTAATTAATAATCATAAACTTCAGATTTAGAATGAAAATTAAAATAAAAAAAAAACACTATAAATAGAGTAAAGAAGAGGGTGTAAAATTTAAAAAAATTCAGGTTTAAAACTCTTCCTTCTTCTCTATTTTTATAATGAATTTTAAAAATTAAAGGCTAAGAATTAATAAGAATTAATTCTCATCATTATTAATTAATCTTTAATTAGCTACTATAAATAATGAATTAATTATAAAAACACTAAGGATTCTTTGAATAGAAAAACATTAATTTTTTATTTACTTATAATTTATTTAATTAAAATAAATTTCCAACCGAATTAAATTCCATATCTGATATCATCTTAATTCTATTCATCTTGGCTTTGAGAAATTTGCTCTGGAAATTCATTCAGCCTCAGGTATTTTCCCCGCCTCCCTGCAAGCAAGTTCTACAATCTATATCTAAATGCAAACCCCCTTTTCTTACTTCATTTCAATCTCACCAATTTTGCAGCAGTGCTTTGAAGCTCAATTACTCGGACACCAAAAATGCTAATGACAATACCTGCTAGCTTGCATACTATAATTTGCAATAACGACGGGAAAAAGCATGCAAGTAGAGCCCAAGTTGGCCCTGGAGCGTGGAAACTGTGGAAAAAAGACGACCACTTTGTGGCCAAACGCACGATCCAATCAACCTTCAGCAACTTGCTTGGAAGTCGAGGCCCAGTGTTTGTTGCCTTCATCATCAAAGCAATATGGTTAATCAGGATTGTATTGGGACTGGTGGGCCAATCACTATAATGCTCTCGTCCATCGTGCTTGGAAACACAAGATAGTAGGGTCCTGTACCCCAGTGTTGTAGGGCCATCGTGTCCAAAAATGGACGTCCCATTGACCAGAAATTTTGCCATTATAGCATCCTCATCTGTGGATCCAGCGCTAAAACAGAAATATGGAGCGTGCACAGAGAATTTCATCGTGTTCCCTCATGTGGTGCCTAGCTAAGCAAT